GCGGCCCGGGGAGACAGGGAGGGAGGCGACGGCGGCACAAGAGGGCCAAGTGCGGCCGAGAAGAGCAATGCGGGTGTGTCCCGACTGGATAAATGCACGTCGAACCCGCCAGCACGTCCTCGGGCCTTTGCACTTGCTGCTGGCTCTTCCCCGAAGCGCGCTCACATACCTGCGCCGGCTCAATCTGCTCCTAGGTGACCTCTGCTCAGAAGATTTCCCTGACCCTCCTGTCCAAGGTGGTCTTTGTTTTGAGTTTTTACTTACCGAAACACTTGTCACCAGGAGTTCTTAACCAGCCGTGCAATTCATGAGTGGGATTCAGGAAATCGGTGAACCTCCTGAAATGTTAATGTAGAATTTAGTGGCCACGTATGCCATCTGAACATTTTTTCTAAGGAGAAACCACAAATGGCTCTAAAGCAATGGTCTGGGCGTTTTTTGTTTTTTTTAAACTGTGGACCCCTTTGAGAATCTGCCTTGTGCTACCTAAGATCCATCTGGAGCCTGTGGAAATTCCAGAAGGATTAGGCTAAGGACTTGAATCTTAAAATGGCTTATTCTGGTCAAACTCTGAGTAAGAGACAGCAACCAGTGATCCTGTGAAGCAGACCTCGGGTTTATCAATAAACCCTCTAGTTTGGAGGGGTCTTTCCAGGTTTTGTAAATCTTTCAGTGCTTTGTTTTTTTCAGGAGGAAAGAGTGTGTGTTTCTGGTGCAGACAGAGGACCTGTAGGATGTTGCGGTTGCAAATTACTTGACTTGTGAGATGGGGTGTTTCCACGCTATTATAGCCCTACTGGGTACTGCAGTGTCACCGACCAAACTGGATTGGAAGAAGAAAAAAACCTTGAGTTTTATCAGAGAAACTTAGTAATGCTACTCTGTCGTACTTCTTGGCCTCATCCTATGTTCACTTAGCATGTGAGATTTCCTAATACTTGGTTCTGCGGTGAGTATGAATATTAACACACTTTACTGGTTCTGACTAATTGACAGACTCCCACTATCATCAGCAACCTCCTAACGCCTGTAGAACATTGCCAATTAGATTAGTGAACATCTCTAAGTCAAATACTGCCTCATGTTTTCAGTCTTAGTTTCAGGGTTTCATGGTATAGTTGAAAGAACTCTGATTTTAATAACCCAGGATGTTAGATTCCATTCCCAGTTCTGCCAGTTCTCAGTGACTACCTGGGCAAGCTTCTACTCCAAGAATACCTGCCTGTTACCTCAAAAGGTTATGAGGATCAGATGACATAATGGATGTGAAGATCATTGTCACCTACAAAGGACTATATGCAGGTCCATGCAGTCCTACTGAATACCACTGAAGTATCAAAATTATAGAATATCAGAACTGGGAGGGATCAGCAAGCCCGATTTCTTTATTTTAAAGATGGAGAAACAGACATAGTATAAAAGGTCATCGATAAATCACTTTGTTGAAGGTAGCCTTTTTTGAAGCTGTTAAAATTTAATCATTATTTTCATTATCTTGTGGCCTTCATTGGAAATTCTTTTTGCTTCATGAAACTATATATTAGTCCTATGTTTAATCACTAAGGGAACATTTCCCAAGAGAATTACTAATGAACAAAATCCTCCTCGAGCTAAGAAAAAATTGCCAACCAAATGCCTCTCGGCCTGATTTATCCCTATACTGTTTCTCAGGTCAAGTTGCAAAAAATAGATTAGTGCTGCTGTATTCCTGACCATCCGAGATAAATGAGAATCGATAAATGGTCATTTTTGACAAAATATCTCAAAAGTTTTGTTTGGTGGTTTTTGTTTTAACTCTAAGATGTTTATAAATAAGAAGAGTCTAGACTGGACCCCCCCAAATGAAGTGATTCCATGGGGTTTGCATAAGAAATTTAGTAGGCCCTCATTTCTTTTTCATATTCTCTGCATCCATCTAGGTTTTTAGGTTTGCTAATACAGATTACTCTGCTGTTTTAAATGAAATCATTGGCAAAATTTCTGCCTCTTATATTCCCCCACCTAAATTAAGCACATTATAGAGAGAATCAGAAGAAAGCAAGCCCAGTCCTTCCAAACTAAACCTCAGAGCCTTGAGTGTATCTTCCCCCTTCCTCTTGTCCTTCTGATCACACAAGTTCTAGTAGCCTCACTACTGTTGTTATAGGACAGTGATGTCACCAGGTAGGATTCTGATGTCACTCTCCAGTCCCAACAAGAGCGGGTGCATGGAAGGCTGGGTGAGGAAGCAAGATCTTGAGCTGAGCAAGCATCTTCATTGACTCTAAAAGGATACTCTGGAGTCTTCTGTGGTTCACGACCCCAGTGCTAGAAAGGTAGGAAATCCCACTGGACGGATGAAACAGCCCATTTTCTGACCTCTGTGGTTAGAAGGGAGAATTCAGTGGCAAGCAATGGGTAGCTTTTCATGTCCAATCCAGCTTTTTTCTTTATTGACCATAGGAAAACTTCACAACTTCTAGGATATTAAACTGCAGAGCTGGAATATCTGAAAGAATATAGCCACTGATTCTGATACTTCCTTGTGAACCTGTTTCATAATCTGTAAAATAAGATTGTTAGAATAGACGGTTTCTAAGGTACATGTGTCTTAACGATGTGTAAACAGTCAACTTTCTTATCAAATCTAATAGAGAATGCAAAGAATAGTTTTCTCTTTTGTTTTCCACTCTAACTCCAGGCTATTATTCGTCAACTTTTGAATGTACAATAAAGAAGTTTATGAATTCATTTGTTGACTTTATTAAACTCTTTAGGTCTTCAGTCTTTTCCACTTCATAATGAGAAATGCATACATTGATTTAGAAGTCTGAAGGTCACTCTCATCAAAAAGTATTTAAGTACTTATTTGTAGATGCCAACCTGCCCAGCTGTTTAGGGAGTTTTAAAAGTCTAAAGCCAGTTCATGGATGCAGATGAACAGAGGACATAGAAAATACAGTGAACACATGAGAACATATGTATATGAAGTGTTTACTGGATATATAGTAAGCACTTTGTGAAGAGAACAAGAGCATTTTGAGATGTGATTTATTTGTATGATTGGAATAAGAAGGTTTGTTAGGAAATCATTGGATAAGCCTCTGGGGTGAACTTAACCCCAGAAGGAATTGAGCTTCAAAAGGCCTGAATATACACATGACCACCCTAGTAAATTTGAGCAAGACATTTCTTTTTGTTCTCAGATCTCCAATTTATGAAAGAAAAAATGAGCTATCTGGAATTAGAAATGGGCAGAATTTGTATATCCATTGTTTCAGCAGATAATTATTGAGCATCAACTTTAAGCTACTCTGAGGGATACCAAGACAAGTAAGAGAAAGCCTCTGGCCTCACAAAGCCTAATAAAGGAGATAAAATATATGGGAGTAAATAAGTAGTAGATAGAATGTAGAGGTTGAAGCAAAATATGGAAACTAAAGTGAGGGGACATTCACATTCAATTAGATATTTAGAAAATATTTCATAGATGTGGTAGCTTTTGACGGACAATGGAGAAGGGTGGGACGTATAGACATTATTGTGGTACAGGATTGATAGTCTAAATGAGAGTACAACGCTCTAATGTTTTCTGTTGAAATGTCTTAGTAGAGATAGTCCACAAAGGTTAATTAATCTGGAAGACATTAACTGAACTCCCTTTATAACATGAGTATGTATATTTCTCTCAAATCCTAAAAAAAAAATACAAAGTGTTTTGAGTTCCATGGATTCAGGGCACTTAGTCTCCATTCCAACTGTTTATCTTTTTTTTTTTTTTTTTTAAGCAAGATTTATTGAGAAGACAAAATCTCCCACAGTGGGAGGGGACCTGAGAGGATTACCGACAACTGTTATACAAGCAAATTTGAGATTAACTTTTTAGTCTCACTACTGTTGTTATAGAGACAATGGCGTCACCAGTTGTGATTTTGATGTCACTCTCTAGTCCCAACAAGGGGTGGGGTTTGGAAGACTGGACGAGGAGACAAGATCTTGAGCTGATCAGGGACATTCCAACATCTTCCCTGACATTAGAAGTATACTCGAGTCTTCCAGCATTCACTATTCCAGTGCTAGAGAGGTAGGAAATCCCGCTAGATTGATAAGACAGCCCATTTTCCGACACTCTGTGGTTAGAAGGTAGAATTCAGTGACACGTAACTGCGCTTCTTATGTTCAATCCAGCCTAATTCTTCTGCCCAGCCCATTTTAATTTCGCCTTGGAGTCACCTGGAAAGAAAGGAACTGCTCCTTTCTTTAAGTAGCATTAAAGCCAAACCTACCATCTTTACTGGTGGAGTTTTGGTTTGTTACAGGTTTGACCAGGTCTCCTTGGCCTTTCTTTTGAGGCTATGAGGGAGCTCGTTTCTGCTTCCCAATTTGATGGAGTGGAAGCCTGACCACCTACTGACCTCATCTCCATTGTGTGGCTGTTGCTAACGTGCTTCTCTTTCCAGTGCTCCAGAAGCAAAGCGGAAATAGTGTAGCCGAGTCCAATCCCCATCCCCTTTCATTTGTGTCTGTTTTGAGACAATGTTGGAGACATTGGAAAGGAGAAGTTGGCCATCTTGTTCCACCTTGACAATTGAGAATTATAGATCTGAACGAAGGTTGTAATGAAAAGAGGAAACTTTGGTGTGGAAGCCTGAAATGGAAGTCCATCATGGAAAATGAGAGCAAAGACCAGTTTCTCATACTTTTGGTACCATTGAATAACTGAGTCATTGTGATAGTTGGCCATGTTTTCAAAGACTACCAAGTAAGATATAGTGGGGCAGGTCTCCATTGATGGGAATAAAGCCGAAGGCCAAGGAGTATACAGAATAGCTACTATGATACTCAGTTGGGAGAAGAGACAATTAGAGCAGCAGATATAGGCAATTTAAGAATAGTGACTCAAATGGCAAAAGAGGGAAGCAGTTAGAGGAAAGCTTGGGGTGAAAAAAGACAATTAAAATGTGCCATTACTGAGATTAGGTCCTAGAGCAAAGTGTTGGGAGGGCTTTGAAAGAATCCACATTAGCTAGGATATCACTGCAACCTTGAACAAAGACCCGTTGTATGGTACACATGACATCTCTGTTCTGGCATTCAGAAATTTGGCTGAACCATGAAGACTAAGAATTCCTCCAGGATCCTTGGCTAATTGGTGAAGAGATTGATTGGTCTTAAGAAATAGCTAACAGATTTGCAGCTAATATGAGTAAGTTAGTGCTCTAGAAGTTCATTAGAAGTAAGACATCTATCACTTAAAAACTAAGTAGGTGGGGGCAAGGACGAAGTAAATTAATTCCATTTTGGTCATACTGAGTGTTGAAGGTCTACTGGAAATCCAAGAAGTAGGGTTTGAGAAGGGTTGTCTAGTAAGGACACAAAGAGTAGGACATGGCCGTCCATGTTCATTCATTTAACAAAGATGTGTTAAGCACCTGTAGCAGGTAGCAGGTAACAGGCACTAGCCTATTCACTAGAGATACAAACATTTATTTATTCATTATTTATTTTTGAGGCTTTTGTTGACTTGTGGTCTCACTGTGATGCTCAGGCTAGAGTGCAGAGGCATATTGGTGGTTCACTGCAGCCTCAACTTCCTAGACTCAGGGGATCCTTCCATCTCCGCCTCCTCAAATGGCAAAAGGACTACAGACACACACTACCTCGCCTGGTTATTATTATACTTTATTTTTTTAGAGAGGAGGTCTCACTACATTGCCCAGGCTGGTCTCAAACTCTGGGGTCCAAGCACTGTCTTCCCTCCTCCACCTCTCAAAGTGCTGAGATTACAGGTATGAGGCACTGAGCCTGGCTTGAGATACATATATGTCTGTGAAGTCTTCCTGCAGCTGAGAGCTGAGGATTAAAAGATCCAGAGGGCAGTGGGTCTGAAGTAGCTCTCAGGGCGGCTTCCACCGAAAGCGTCGCTCCTGCTTTCCATCCCTCAGCTATTCAGCTTAATTCTCCTTACTTTCACATAACCTGCACCTTTGATGACTCCCCCCTTTTTTTCTATTTCCAGATGTCAGACAGGATTGACTGGTTACAAAGTCAAAGTGAAGTATGCAGAGTCGATGTCTATTCACCTGGAGACAACCAATCCCCCAAGTGGAAATTGGTAAGGATCAATCTCCTTGTAAGAATATGTGGGTGACATCAACAGTAGCCTAATCCTGTCCTCCACACCACCTACCTCTTACTTTTGAAGGTGGGATTCTTGGGGGGGAGAGGGCACGTGCTCCTATAGAGCAAAAAATTCTCATCTACGGTTTTCTGGAAAAAATGTGCTTGTCATGGTATTTAGTAGGCAAAATGTGCCATAAGTGAAGAATATATGTGTGTATAACAGCTGCAAAATGTTGATTTTCAAGTAAATAGGATTGAGGATAAGTGTCTCCAAGGCTCACAAAAAATATTTTCTGAATAGTAGGATGCCTTAAAATTCTCAGAACTATAAACTCTCATCTAAATTGTTGTTCTGCCTTCATCATTCAAAACAAACATTTGCTAAATAGTACTAGGCATTGTATCAGTCAGGGTCCAGTCAGAAGATAAAAACCACACTAGTTACTTATTATTAGAAAATAAATTACTAGGAAAAGGTGGCTAAGTATTAAAGGGTCCAGGAGAGGACTCAGGAATTCCAGAAATAACAAATGCAGAAAGCCTCTACACCCCCAAGCTGAGAGAGAGTAAAGGAGTAACCCAGAGGGGTGATCTCAGAACTCAGATCTCCCTCTCCCTCAACCTAAGCCATTTTGCATCTCTTTGAAAAGAACAGGGCCACTACGGGAAACCTGCCAGAGATAACAGATGAACCAGCAGGGAAACATTTTCCTCCCAATATAACAGTACACTGCTCCCCAGTGCCTTTCACTGACTAAGCCAACAGCCAAAGGAGAAATGTTTAAAGGTCCCAGCTGTATAACCACAAAGCAAGGGTGGGTTTGGAGGGAGAGACAAAAGGCACAGAAATCGATAACTGTGATGTGTGGTGGGTCAGGTGTACAAAAAATAAACTAGAGTCCTCTCCTTTTAAGTATCTCACAATCTAATGGAATCATTTTGTGATCCTCATCCTTAATATTAACTTTTAGCAAACACCTATTTGCATGTAATGTTACGTGACCCATCTTCTTCTATATGTCCAAAATCAATTTGGTCTGCCTATATATAGCCTGAAAGAAAAAACACTAACAGATCTACATAAGACATTAAGACATATAGATAATCAATATCCAAGCAAATTAGGGCCAACTACAATTGCTTTTATTAGGTCTTTGATTTACTTCACTTTCATTTCAAGTAACAGAAGGCAGATAAGTTTCAATGTTAAACCGAATGAACTTTATTTATTGATTTATTGATTCTTTACTGCGTAGAAACACTCTGAGGCATACAAAAAGGAATTAAACAGTTTCTGCCCCTGGGGACCTTATTATTCATTTTGGAAAAATAAAAAATATTCATATGAAAATCTAAATATAATTTAAACGCTCTAAATAACTCTCGGACACTAATGAAAAGAAGTTCATGATTACTTGCCAAATGAATTTTGTAGAAAGTAACTGCTGTGCCGGGCTCGGTGGCTCAGCCTGTAATCCCGTGCCTTGGGAGGCCGAGGTGAGTGAATTACCTGAGCCCGTGAGTTCGAGACCTGCCTGGGCAACTTGGCGAGACCTCATCTCTACAATAAATCAAAAAATCAGCCGGCGTGGTGGCGCATGCCTGTAATTCCAGCTACTTGGAAGGCTGAGGTGGAAGGATCGCCGGAGCCCAGCAGGTCGAGGCTGCTGTGGCTGGGAGCAGCCACGGCACTCCAGTCTGGGTGACAGAGTGAGACTCCAAATCAAAAAAAATAAAAATAAAAGAAAGTAACTGCTATGGGTATATAAATGGGTCATTTACATTTAAAAATAATGGGAAGTAGCTAGAGAAAATTGCATAAAGTATATAAAATTGAAGAGAAATACAACAGGAAGGTCTGTAATTGACTTCAAACTAAGCTACTGGAGCAAAAGGTGGACAAGAGGAGAAAATAAAGCCCATTAACCCTGTTTATATTCAACTTCATGAACATGAAAATCTGCTGTGGTCTTAATACTCAGAGATAAGTAGGCACCCTGTTTTCCCAACTTCTCAGGACTCTACTGTGTCTGAAGAGGATGGTAGCAAAAGGGCACAGGGGTTTGAAAAGATGCGTGCTTAATTATAGACTGCTAAGAAATGTGGTGCTTGGTGTGGTGCTGAGGCTACATCAACCACTTTGACAAAATCCTGTGGGTAGAGTGGAATAGTGGACATAAGATACACACATTTTAGATTTCAGAAAACATAAACAGCAAAATCCTATAAGTGAGGCAAGTTAACAAAACTCCAAGAACGCCATGGGAAAGCTCTTGGCTGTAATGTAGGGTTTTGTTTGTTTGTTTGTTTTTAGTGTTATGTGAAAAGAATTAAAATGGATAAAATAATAAACCCCACAACTACACTCTAATAAGACTTTCCTGTACTTAGTTACAGCCCAATTATGGAAACATGCCCAATTGCAGACTAGTGTGCTTGTTTGTAAATAACTAGGGGGTATTCGGTGATTATTTTCAGAAAAACGTAAGATCAACATTCTCATTTAGTTTAAAAAATGAATGTTAAGGAAGTTATTTAACTCAACGAGGAAATTGGTGAGGTATTACAACCAGCTTAAAGGAGAATAAAGATGCACTTGAAGATCAGGAATATGAAATTATGTGCAAATAGAGGCAAAACTGGCTTGTTTCACAGTGAAGGGAGGCCAGCCGAACTCCCATTAGCCACAATTTACATGTCGATAGACAAGAGTTATTTTGCATTGCAATTAATTATCTACAGCTTACAAAGTTGTAAAAGAGCTCCCACAGACTCAGAATCAGATAATGTGGAAGATTATAGACAACACTTAGTCTATAGACTGTAGATTATAAACTGTAGACAATGCTTAATTTTCTACTGAAGCCAAATATTTTTCCCTATAACCTCCATTTTGATTAAAAAAAATCATCACAAATAAGATTATTCTTGATCACAAAATGAGGTTGGTGTCATCAGATTTGGCCTGATTATTTACATAGGTACAGGAGTTTGACAGGCCTTGTTAAGTTTGCTTTCCTGAAAGTTTTCATAAGGAATGTCAGATTAGATTTTTAAAGGCCTTTCTTCTGCAATTAGGAAGTCAAGCCCAAGGAGCTCTTGCCAACAGGTTTTACCTGCAGTTTCTAAAAAAACAGCTGGTACACAATTGATTTCTCTGAAAATATCGTTCCCAGTTATAGTCCCAACCATTAATATTAATCATATCTTTTAACCAAAGTACTTTCTATTTCACAACGAAAACCTAGAGGGGGAGTGTGTGATTGTAAACTATCACACACCAGCTAAAACACAGATGCACAGAATTCATGAATACATATGAAGACAACTTCCAACAGCCACACATATCCTGTACACGGCCTCTCTAAGTGACAAAAATGAGAATATTTATTAACAGATCCAAAGACATAGGCACTCTATAATAAAAATAAGAAGCAAAAGCCTGTAAACTTTATGCTTAGCATCAGTGCTTCAGTATTCTATCTTACTTAGACATGATTGAGTGAATCACATCTAATTATACTTAGATATGTATTCAGTGAATATAGATTTTCAAACTCAATTTAATAGCACTTCAGTATTTTAAGTTACATAAAGATGTTGGAAAATTATCATCAAGCTGGCATAATATAAAACATAATAACTGTTGAAATAAAGTTTATCAGAATGGTTTTTCAACTTAGTTAAACACAAATTTACATTTTTCATAATCTTCAACATTAAGTAGAAGTAATGCTAGCTTATTGTATCTTTATAACCTGTATAAGTTTATGACGAGCATATCAAAGTAAAATAAAAATGTGCACTTTAATATACTTAACTCTGACAAATCAGAAAAAACATAGCTATTTTTTATTAAACCAAAATTACTAAACTAGTATCATTTACCTAATTTATGTGAACTTGTGTTCCTGAAATGTTTCTGAGTTAGAGTCTATTTTAAAAGTACTATACTTTTTCACTAGCGTTCCCTTCTAATATTTTATGTATTAGAAATTCGATTTCCTTATCTTGTGGGGATCTTAAGAATATTCAATTTACATTTGTATTTATATATGTATGTATAAGCCAATTGGAATAGAGATCTTTGAATTGAAGAGACTTTACAATGTAACTTAATAATACCATCTGGAGAAAGACATTACGACTTACAACTTAGGCTTTTCTGAAATACAGACACAATGACACAGACACTGATAGAGACAGTTTATGGCTTCAGTGCTAAACTTTCAGCCATGTGTCAAAAGTAGAGAAAGAAACATAAAACTTACTTATCAAAGAGCTCTTCTCCTTTCAAGAGGGCAGAAAATTCTGCATGTCCAAGATGGACCAAAAATACTAGCAAAACAGGTAGTCTGTTGTCCTTCACCCAACAGACAATAGATCTCTATAAACCATTAATCTATTAAAGATATCACCAAATGGGCAGACAGTAAAATCAAACTCCCAATCATTGCTGCCACCAATGATTATTGTCCGTAAATAGCCAAAATCAAAATCAGTAGAGAGGAAAAATAAAACTGGAAAAACAAAATGTCTGCAATGTTCTCTTGCCACTCTGGGGACCAAGAAAACTCTTTGCAGCTGGTATACCTCTCTCATGATGCAGTTTACCTCCCAGGTAAATCTAGGTGTGAGGTTCAAAAGACACAAATGGATCAGAAATATTGACATGCATGTGCACATGCAGGCAAAGCCAACCTTCTCCACAGGGAAACAGGAAGTCCCCTTAAACGTGTGGAGATAAGAATTATGTTGCATTGCTACCAGTTACCTACAGTTTCAAGTTGTAAAATAACTCCAACAAAATGAGAATCAAAGGGTACCTGCATAATCAACGTTTGTATACCTAAGCCTGCATTGTACCCCACATCTTTATAATAAAAAAAAAAAGAAAATGAGAATAGGATAATGTGGAAGGGTATGCTATAGATGACATATAAATTTTCCAGTGCAATACAAAATGTTCCCTGTAGTAGGTGCTATTCAATTTAAGAGAACCATTTGGGAGGATTTTGAAACAAGGATCATGGACTTTAGCCCAACATGATCCAAGCAGCTTAAACCAGTCCTGAGGAAGACTAGTACAATTGCTTTTCTCTTCTTTCCAAGTCATCAAAACTCAGCAGGGTGCTAGAGGGGTGGAGTGCCCTGGTTTTAGAGTCAGAACTGGATTTTAATAACAGCCATGGACCAGCTATAAGATGCTAGCCAAGCTATTTTACTTCTCTAAGCCTCTGTTTTCTTATCCATGAAGCTGAAAGAGTAAAACCTACCTTACAGGGTGAGTAGGAGGATCAAACTAATGTGTGTAAAGCTCTTAGCTCTTAGTTCTTGGCAAACGTTCAAGTGTTTAACAAATAGTAGCTGGTGACTATAATGCTTAGCAATAAAAATATCAAATTATACTTTAAAGATGGACAATATTTGTGGTCATTTACAGAGAGGAGTATGAACTCCAATAACTACACTGATGCCTTATATTTGGTAGTAAGTAGGACACTTTGATATACACTATCCTATTTTGTTCTATGTCAAGTGAAAAGAGTTTTTTCCACTTATAGATGATGGTACAGTATGTAAATATATAAATATGTGCATGTGCTTATCACAGCTGGTGATCCAAGGATTGATCAGAGAATCTGTATTCACACAAAATTAATAAATTTCCCACAGATATTAACTCTTCAATTATAAATCAGATTGTGAACTCAAGTGATGTCAATTAGTCCTTTGGAAGCCATTTGACATACCAAGATTGTGTTTGTTTGGGAGGCCAAGCCAAGAGGTTTGCCTGAGTTCAGATGTTGGAGACCAGCCTGGGCAGCATGTCGAGACCTTGTCTCTACAATAAATTTTAAAAAAAATTAGCCAGGTATGGTAGCACAGGCCTATGGCTCCAGCTTGGAAGGCTGAGGCGGAAGGATCACCTGAGCCCAACAGATCGAGGCTGCGGTGGCCGTGAGCATGCCATTGCACTTCAGGCTGGGTGACAGAGTGAGACCCCCAACTCAAAAAAAAATTGTGTTTGTGTAGCCTGACAGAAGGATTAATTATGCATAATTGTCCTTGAATTTTCTGTTTTAAAGAAAATTACTTGTAATAAGAGGCCTACATAAAAACAGGTAAACCATAGACAATAGCAACTAATAATCAATGTAAGAAAAAAAACTACGGGTTCAGTTCAAATGCTATCTCTTCTATGTAGCTGATGACTATCAGATTTGAAGGATATATGTTGTTAGAAGCAATATAATGTAGTGGCTGAGAGCACAGGATCTGGGACCACACTATCGGAGTTGGAATTTCTGCCGTAATACTGTTGAGATTAGCTCTATTGCACCATTAGTGGTATTAGTGGTATAAACCTTTTGAGGGGAACCAAAAAAATCACCTAGAATTATTTTTTGGAGGGTGGGCCTCTTATAGGGCTTCCCACTCTAGGTAACTGTTCTGGGAAGCCATGGGCATCGGTGTACCAGCTAGTGTTGTTGCGAGAGGCTGCGTTTGGTTTAGGTCAATTTCTTCTGCAGATTCTTTCAATAAGTTTGCCCATTTTGTGATGGGTGATTTACAATACAAGCGCACCTGCCTATACCGCCCTGAGTGTTCAGCAATTTTTGATCAAAAACAGCATGACCCTGAGCTCCACCCTCCCCATCCCCATTCGCCTGATCTCACCCTGAGCAACTTTCGCTTCCCTGGATGAAAAAAGTCCTCAAAGGGAAACATTTTGCCGATGTGGAAGAGATGAAACAAAAAATGGTGGAAGGACTGAAAGGCATCAAAATTGATGAGTTCAAAAACTGTTTTGAACAGTGGAAAAAGCATCTCAATAGGTGTATTGTATCAAACAGAGAGTGCTTTCAAGGAGAATGAAGTGTAAACATATTAGACTAATACACAATCTTTTATAGATTCCTATTTGGGGGGTCACCCCTCATATTGCTGTTGGAATTTGCTGTATTATTTCAAATGTATAGCTCACTTAAACTTTCAGTTATTCGATTTCCTCCTCAGTAAAATGATAAGGATAATAACAGAGCTAACATTTAGGTTCATTATAACAATATTAAATGAGATTATAGCCTTACAATAACTGGAACAGTGCCCAATACATAGTAAGCACTCGATACATGTTGTTTACATTTACTGCAAAGATGGAGCAAGCTTGAGAGGCATGACACTTTTAACTAGCCTGTGAGGTTGTTCTGAAAATCACCTGTCTTTACTTTGCTGTGGTCAGATGAATCTTTCTTTATTTTGAAGGATGCCTCAACGGATCCTGTCAGAGTGCTCAGCTGGCTCCGCAGAGACCTAGAGAAAAGTACAGCAGGGTTCCAAGACGTCAGGTTCCAGCCCAGAGAATCATCCCCTGGGGAGACGACCAACGCAGAAGACCCCTCCAAAGCTTTCTCTGTGGACTATTACAACACCACCACCAAGGGCAGTCCAGGGAGATTGCATTTTAAGATCTCCCACAAAGAGAATCCCTGCCAGGGCCCCAGGGCCCAAATTGGTAACAAGAGTTCAGTAGATGAAGTTTCTTCTATGCTAATCGCCTCACAAATCTAGTCATAGCTATGGCCCGCAAGGAGATTAATGAGACAATCGATGGTTCTGGAAAACAAATGTATCCATCAGTCATTTTATGTGGGAGATGAACCCCCTCCCAACAAATCCCTGAGTAACATGGCATCAGAGCTGGTGAATGAGACCGTCTCTGCGTGTGCCGGGAATGCTGTCCCAGACAAGGCTCCACGCTCTGGAGACAGAGCCTCCAGGTCATTACAGAGTCTCCGTAATTTGAAATACAAGTCCACTGTGAAGATCAAGGAGAGCAACAAGGGCAGCCAGGGCCCTTCCAGGAAGTCTTTCTTCTTTAAGGAGGTGCTAGAATCTCGCAATGCGGGTGATACCAGGGAGGGTGGAAGAAGGCTATTTCGAGGGCAGGAAAGGCCTGACGACTTTACAGCTCCTGTCAGTGATGGGATCATGATGTATGCCAACAGCGTGGTGTCTGATATGATGGCTTCCATCATGAGGACACTGAGGATCCAAGTCAAAGACACAACCATCATCACCATCGTGTTGAAGAAGGTTCTGCTCAAGCATACGAAAGAGGTGGTCTCCGATCTCATTGACTCCTTCATGAAGAACCTCCACAGTGCCACAGGGACCCTCATGACTGATGAAGACTTTGTCTCGGCGGTGAAAAGAAATGTCTTCTCTCATGGAAGCCAAAAGTCCTCTGACATCATGAACGCCATGCTGAGTAAGCTATACGATGTGATGTTAGCCAAGAAGGTCCCTGAGATTATCAGAAAAACTGAGGACAGGTCTGAGAGTTTTTCCCTTTTCTCCACGAAAGGAAAGGGTGACCCCAAAAACCGAAATGTGAACTTTGCAATGAAATCGGTAGACGAATTGAGAGAAAAGGTATATCCGGCATCCAACCCAGCGAAGGAGAAGACTTGTGCCGAAACTCTGAGTGAACACATCATCAAGGAGGGGCTGTCCCTCTGGCATGACAGTCAACAGAACAAATGTAAATCTCCAGGTTTGCAGCGGGCAGCAAGTGGTGCTCCCAACAAACAGTATATGTCTGCACCTGACATTCCCTTGGGGTATTCTCATGATGCTTGTGACCTCAGCCCTCCTCTGTGTCACCCAGAGGAACCTGAGGATTTGATGTGTGATTCAAAGTCCTGGGCCAAGGACCTGATTGTATCTGCCCTACTTCTGATTCAACACCACCTGGCCCTGGGAGGAAGAATGGATGCAGGGAGCTTCCTTGAAGCCGCTAGCACCACCAACTTTTCTACCAACAAGCCCCCTGAAGTTTCCAATAAGTCCTGCGTCAACCAAGAACAAGCAGAAAAGAAGACTCTAATGAGTGTTTTCTTCAATTTTATACGGACCTTACTTAGTGAGACAATTTTCAAGAGTGGCCACAGTCCTGAACCCAAGGTGCCGGAAGAGCCAGTCAGGGAAGAAGATACGCACCGGTGTGAAAGAACTATGACCCCTTCTTCTGCCAGCCCATGTGAATGTGATGAGGCTGGTGGTCCCCTTTCTGGGATGACCAAGATGATAGTCAACCAGCCAGATGGCGACATGGATGGGAAGATGGTAGAACATCTGATGGATTCAGTGATGAAGCTGTGTCTCATCATTGCCAAGTCCTGTGACTCCCACTTGACAGAGCTGGGAGACGAGAACTCTGGAGATGCCGGTGGGCCCACAACAGCCTTCCCAGATAATTTGTATGATTGTTTAGCAGTCAAGGGGACAGAGACAGC